GTAGAATATAGGGAAGTAGGAGGGAGCAGAGAGCTGGATCAGGCGTCATGAAACTGCGACACCGTGCAACTGCTAAAACACAGAATTATGCAGTTCAAGGAACGGTGTTGTGCAGCAGTACTGCGCAATGGCACCGCCCAACTTCCTCATATTCTCTATTCCCGGACGCTGATAGACGCTGCCGCAAAGTATGAACAGAGCCTAACATTCACCCACCTCGAACTTTTTTAATGAGTAATGAATGTAGTATTTCAAAACTGTGAGAAAGAAATCAGACAATTTACAAAGTGAAAAAGGAGGGCTTAACCAGAGGAATGTAACCGGTGCCAGTGTGGAAATGTCAATATTGATGGATCTATTGATCTGTGACGACGTAGTTAGGATGTACGCACAAGAGGGGGTTTTTCTCGTCCGAATCCATTTCAATCAATACATGATCTTCAGTGACAAGTCGACGAATGACTCGATGGCAGATGGTGCGTTGGATGTGCAGATCTTCTTCCGTTTCCAAATCACCTTCTATCATTTCCAAATACCTTAACAAATCAATTCTGAGCATTTTTGAACAAAAATCAACCTCATCTATGAAATTTGAGGAACAATGTGTGCTCCGTAAACGCCTAACCGTGCACACTTCTCGGTCAAGCACCTGTGCGGCAGCACTTCTGTTATTATTGGGGCGGGTGGTGCACCCAGAAAAGAAGCAACAACTAGCCTATTCTTGGCTACTAGTCACCACTGAACCCCGGTGAAATCGGTTAGTTCGGCTTGGTGGGGGCACGTACCGAGCTACACTCCATATCTCATACCCAGAGATAGCGTGTTGCGTACTTGTTCTGAACACAGCGTAGGATGCATTTTTCGTAGGATATTCTCATTTGGAACAACTATTATCCTGGCTGTTGTCACATAAAGGCATGACTGCAGTTGTGCTAAAAGCGAAAATATCAAGGCAGAAGCAGGGGGTTCACATCAAGTATGCAGCCACGCCTACTCCATTTCCAGGATACGAAATGTAAGCTAAGCAGATCACCTTGTGAAAACCTGCAAAGTTCTGTGACCAACGTGGCTCATTCGCACAAGCTCGTAGCTTCACAGGAGTTCACAGGTCTGGCCAAAATTAGACCTGTTAGTTAACATGAACCAAGAAAACGAACTAGCGAAAGTGCAAAATGCCCCCTCCAAGCTGAACATCGGCTTGAAATTTCTGATAGCGGTGAAAAAACGCACCAATCAATCAAAGCATCCTGTCGTACGCCTTCATAATCTTCCTCGGCTACAGCCTCTTCATCCGAGCGCATATGAAGCACAAGCATATCGGCCAGATGCTTGTACTTTTCGAATGTAATCTTCAGCTTAGCATGATCAACCTTGAATCGATTGAATTTACAAAAGCAAAAAAAACTAGAAAATAAAAAGTGACAGTACAATAAAGCAGAGAAAGTAAATAATCGTTACTTTCTGCTCAGCGACGTAAAATTGCGTCCCTGGTGCAATAGTTCGTAGGATCAATATACAACGGAAGATTTGCCAAAAGAGCCGCTTTCTTTCTCATTTCAGATAAAGTCTTGTTTCCCGGACTGTACGCTTCGACAAAAACTACTACATTTACTTTCTCCCAGAAAGCCACTTTCTGGGTAAGGTTGAACCCCTTCACCATTACTTTGATCTTACCGAGACTTACCAAGCTGAACCCTTACCTTCGCTCGCTTTCTTCCACATCATCGATCTCATAGTCTCAGCCTTCATTCGTTATCTGCGTCAACTTCCGATTCATGCCTTTCCGTATCGACATCATCCATGAGGGAGAGCTATACTCGGTTGCTTCGCACCCTGAAAAACACACACAGGATATTAGCCCGCATTCCTGACGCTGCCGGTACAATGAACTGAAAGTCAGTGAGTATGCCTTGAGCACGCTGCATCCAATCTCGTCGTCTGTACCCTGCCATGGCTCGACCTGATGGAGAAAACTACTGTCTAACAGGGAAGACGCAGCCGAACAGACCTAGCCGCGCAATTACTAACTCCACTGGCCTCGAACTTTCCTTCGAATAAATCCAGAGCGTAGTGAGACATTGAACGAAATACAGTTACATCCCCCTCCCCTTTGAAGCAAAGACACCCCTACTAACAGGGTTCAAGAACAATTTCCGAAAAGCACACACCTCACTATCGACTTGCTGAGCAACTTCGAAGCTTGATTTACATGCTCCACACTGACCTGCGAAAGTTCTAGATTTAATCAGTTGCACTATGTAGAGAGCAGTAATCACCATATCATACCTGTGCGGCACAATGCAGACGAGCCAAAGCTTCTGAAAGTCGTATGAGGGATTCAAGCTGTCGCACAGTGATCCTCCATGAAGAAGTTGCTGCATTGTTACTGTCATTCATACGAAGGCGTTTGTATGACGTGACCAACGACTCGGCCGCTTCAGGGCTAATCTGGAAGCGAGAGTGTGAGGCTGCTTGTATAACATGTAGGACAGCGGCGATGG